GTTGGATCGCGTCTTCGTCAGGGCAGAAAAAGAGAGCGAAATTCCCAACTTCAAAGGCTCCATCTCGGCCGTTTTCCACTCGTTTCGGCTGATTTTTGGACGAGCGATCATCTCTCGGAGCGCTCTAGAAGCGTGGATGCTTTTTCCGGAACGCGCGCGCGCGGAAAACTCATGTTGAAGCGAAATTGAATCTCTCTTTTCCTGCCCAGGTCTTCGTCGCGGCGAACTTCAACACGGGCGGCGTGACGACGCCGTACCTCGAGCGCCACGAGATGATCCCGGCCTGCATCCGGCTGGCCGTGTTGCTGTATTGGGACAGCGAGATCTGCGACTCCGTCGAGGGCGCCGTCGCCAAGTTCCTCGACGACGTCGTAACGCCGGCGTTCGGAAGAGACGGCTTCTGCGCCAAGGTCGCGGAGCCGGACGACTTCCGGCGCGAGCGGCTCTACAACAAGGAGACCTGCGCCTGCCTGCGGCCCCACATGCGCGAGCTGAAGAACATTTTCAAGCGCTTCTGCTTCGAGGGGCGCTACATGGACCACGACCGCTTCGTGCAGGCGTTCGCGCACGTCGAGAACGAGGGCCTGGTGCACGCGGCGGACCTGGACCTCGCCTTCGCCGTGTCCAAGCTGACGATGACGTCGGAGCTCGACGAGCGCAGGCTCAACACCTTCCAGTTCTTCTCCTTCCTCGAGGCCGTCTGGCGCGTGTCCGTGAGCATCGACCCCTTCGCGCCCGAGGACGCGCTCAAGCTCTTCTTGGACGGCCTCAAGGCCATGAAGGGCCACCGAAGGCGGGACCAGTCCAAGTCGCCGGCCCACTCCGAGAGCGAGTCGTCGGTTTAGGGCTCTCTTAGGTAGCGCACGGTCAGGACGGGGGCCTCGTCGCCGTGGAACTCCAGCGCCGCGCGGAAGGCCGCGCCGAGCTCGCACGTCGTCGGCCGCCTCCGCGGCAGCGCGCGCCGGAGCCAGTCGCAAAAGTTCGCGAGGGCCTTGTTCGACGGCCGCGGCCGCGCGGGAGTCTCCGCCGCCGCGAGCCGGTGGAACGCGTCGACCCAGAACGACGGCGGCGCGTCCGCCATCCACGCCTCGAGCGGCAGCGCCGCGGACTCGACGAAACCGTCGCCGTCGCGCGCGTACGCGACGCGCTCCGCGAAGTAGCGCGCGGTCTCGCGCGCCTGCGCCTCGCGCAGGAACGCGAGGTGGTCCGCGAGGCGCTCCAGCCCGGGCAGCAGCAGCGGCTGCTTCTCGCGCACCGCCGGGAGCCAGTCGTCGCGGAGCCTCCCGCGGTCGCACGCGGGATCCGTCGAGTCCTTGAGGTGCGGCAGGTCCAGCGCCGCGGCCGCGGCGTAGATGGCCGCCTTGTCCGTGCCCAGGAGCGGCCGCCACGTGGCGACGCCGCGCTCGGCGCCCTCGCGGCGCATGCCCCGGAGCTCGTCGTACGACCGGCCCTTGCAGACGTTCGAGAAGAGATTTTCCAAAGTGTCGTCGCGGTTGTGGCCCAGGAGCACGACGCCGCCGTCGCCCGCGGCGGCGGCGTAGGTCTCGAAGCGCGCGGCGCGCGTGAGCTCCTCGTAGGCGGCGCGGTCCACGGAGCCGCGGGGGCAGCCGCGGACGCTCCGCGTCCAGAGCGGCGCGCCGAGCCACCTGGGCAGCAAAAGGGTGATTCAACGTCGCTTCAACGTGAGTGTTCCGCGCGCGCGCGTTCCGGGAAAAGCATCCACGCTTCGAGACCGTTCCGAGAGATGATCGCTCGTCCAAGAATCAGCCAAAACGAGTGGAAAACGGCCGAGATCGGAGGCTTTGAAGTTGGGAATTTCGCTCTCTTTTGCTGCCCTGCGAGCCACGCGCAGTAGGCCTCGACGAACGTCGCCTCGCGGCCGCTCGTTTCGCGGTTGCCGTAGTCGACGTGCACCGCGACGAGATCCACGCTCGAAAACTCCGGCGCGGCCAGCACGCGCGCGACGACGTAGAGCAACACGACGCTGTCGACGCCGCCGGACACGGAGACGACGAGCTTTTTGGGGGCGTCGTCGCGTCGCAGCGCGGAGGTCAGGAAGCCCTTGGCGCCCTTGACCGCGTCCAGCCGCGTGAAGCCCGCGCGGTCCTCCGGCGCCGCGTCGCCGCGGCACGGGGGGCACGTCTCGAGCACGCCCGCGAAGGCGCCCCAGGACCGCGGCGGCGCTGGCGGTCGCGCGGGCGGCGCGCCCGCGGCCGTCTCCGCGGACAGCAGCGCCTTGAGCGTCGCGGCCTCGAAGCGCCGCCAGAGGCCCGCGTCGTCGCCGGGCGCCCAGGCGCGCAGCCGCGGCAGGACCTCGCCCGCGAGCACGCGCGCGTCGAACGTGTGGCGCAGCGGCATGAGCGCGAACGACTGGCGGCTCGCCGGCCACGCGTCCGCCACATCCGCGTTTAGCAGCGCGCGGCTCGCGGCCACCGCCAGCGGGCCGTAGGCCGCCGGGTCGACGTCGGCGTCGACGCGCGCGACGTGGCGCGCCACCTGGTCCCAGAGCAGCACGTGCGCGAGGACCGCGTCGCCGTCGCCGCCGCCGGCCCACGCGGCGACGGCCGCCGCGTCCGCGTCGGCGATGCCGGCGAGGTCGCCGCCGAAGGTCTCGGCGACCTCGCGGTCGAAGCTCGGCGTCGACGCGAACCAGTGCTGTTTCGTCTGCGCCGCGAACCAGAAGTCGAGCACGTCGTCGCAGCGCGACGGCGGCAGCGGCCGCAGCGCCGCGAAGCGTCTCGTCGCGAGGCGGCACTGCGGTCGCGGTCGGAGGAGGAGCGTATGCGCGCGTCGCAGGAGCAGCAGGACCATGGCGCGGCAGCGCATGCCTGGCCGGCCGACGACGCCGCGCCGAAGAGCTCGCCGCTAAGTTCAACCTTGTGTCGTTCACGGCAACATTCGCAGCGCGGGCGCGCGCGCGAGCCGCTGGCGGCTAGACCACCTGTGCTCGAGCACTGCTCAAGGGATACGCCATGACCGCTTGGATACCTAGCCACGGGTTTTAAAGACTAGTTCGTTTAGTCCCTCGGACTTTATTTCTCCACAGTTTATGCCACAGCTGCCGCGGCGACGACCACCTTATCAAGTGAGTTACTTAATAAAGCCTGGCGGATCTCTCGTTCTTCCTAATCTCTCGCGCGACTCTCTGTTGTTTCTTTTTGGCCTTCGCGCGCTGTTCCTTGAAGTCGTCCGCCACACCCGGCCCGCCGGGGCCGGGCCGCGGCGCGGCGGCGCCGTAGGGGCCGCCGTGACCAACGCCGCGGGCTACGGCTTCAACGGTCCGAACGGCGCGAACGCGTCTGCTGCGGGCCACGCGTCCGTCGCCTTGGGCTACGGCTTCAACGGTCCGAACGGCCTGAGCGCGTCTGCTGCAGTGACGAAGCAGTACGCGCTCGACGTCGCGAAAGCACCGGACGGATGGGTCTCTCGCTTTGGAGGCGAGCACGGCGCCGACCCGGTCGTCGCGGGCGCCCTAGGGGGCCATGCGTCCGTCGCCGAGCGATCGCATCCTGGCACCGGCTCGCGCGCGCGCGCGTTAACGCGCGCGCTGGGAACAAGCCGATGGTGCCGCGGCTGTGTTGATGCACAAGGCCAAGGCGCAGCTCGCTTGGCCGGCCGCCAGCGCCGCGCACTGCAACGATGCGCACCATCTCTGCGCTCGCGCTCGCGGCCTGCGCGGCGGCCCTGCGCGCCCCCGCGCCGCGCGCGTCGCTCCGTTCGTCGACGGCCTACGACGTCGTCGTCGTCGGCGGCGGCATGTCGGGCCTGTCGACGGCGCTGGAGCTGCGGCGCCGCGGGCGGTCCGTCTGCGTGCT